CATGGGCATCACAGAGTAAGCACATGCCTGGTTTGAATCGTACCTCACAGGACGATCATTCAGTGTATCTTGGCTTGGACAATCCTCTACCATGCACCATCTTGCCAAAGGGGCCCCCCAGGGCTCTGTACTAGGACCTCTTCTCTTTGCCACATACACCACCTCACTGGGTGAGATCATTCGATCACATGGCTTCTCCTACCACTGCTATGCAGACGACACCCAGGTCTATGTGTCATTTCCACCGGACGACCACACTGTCTCTGCATGAGTGTCAAACCGTCTCTCTGACATAACAAAATGGATGAAATCCCACCATCTCCAACTCAACCTCTCTAAAACTGAACTACTTGTCATCCCAGCAAAACCATCCATACAGCATAATATCGCAACCAAAATGACTTCCTATTAGAGCCCTGCACGGGCCTAAAATCTGAGCCCGTGTCCGGCCCGGCCCGAGGGGGTGGAGCCCCAGCCCGACCTGGCCCAAAAAGGTTTTCAGGATTCTCTAGCCCGACCCGAGCCCGAGCCCGACTTTTTTTTAACCAACTAAATGAAAACAAAGTGTGTCAATCCTGACCAATGTGTTAAAAGACGTGCAGGATCCGATCAATTTGTTTTTCCCTCATTTACCGTCACGGAGATGATGGCGCACTGGCTCTGGTGGTAATCAAGTTAAATTTTATCTCTTTCCAACAATTTTCACAAGAAAACAAAACAGTTAAAAGCAGGGCTTGTGTTGTGTTGACCAGATAGTTCCCGTATTTGATCGTTTATTTTGACGGAGAAAGAATAGGAAGAATTACCCCGACGCATGCAGACGAACTGACATTTCATTCCATGCACATCGCAGATGTTGCTAAATCACCCAAGAAAAGATTCCCATCTGAACATCTGAGCTGCACACTGCTCAGCGCAGCTCGCTGTCAGCGCATATGTGCACAGCGAGCTGAAGTTGTGGAGATTGGCTTGGAGCGCGTTGCAGAACCAGAGCGCATGCGGGAAGGTTCCTCCCACTGAAGCGAGTATTTTCCAAACCCTGTCTCTCAGAGAGACTTGTCACTTAGAAAATGTTCCCTGATTATGAAACTTTGGCTGAATAGTGCTTGTTCTTGTCTCCGATATGGTGACGCATCCAGGAGCCGTCTGAGGAGAATCCCAGAATCTCACATCCTCTTCAGCTCAGGAAGCGCCTCTGATTTTGCACAAGCGTGACCCATCAACCCGGTCTCACAGTAAGACTGGGTTGGGCCTGTTCAGGTTTACGCAGACAATCTTTACATAGAACTGACATACAGATATAAAATTAATTCAGTAAAATATAAAGCATTTTATTTAAATATCCATTCATTATTTTACTAGCACATAGAGCCGCATCAGATTCAGATCAGCGGGAAGATTCCTCCGACTGAATTCAGTCGGAGGAATCTTCCTGCATGCTCTCTGGTTCTGCGACGCGCTCCAAGCCCCTCTCCACATCTTCAGCTCGCTGTATACCTTATGTAGTACACGCTGATAGTGAGCTGCGCTGAGCAGTGTCCAGCTCAGATGTTCAGATGGGAATCTTTTCTTGAGCGATTTAGCTACATCTGCGATGTGCGTAGAATAAAATGTCAGTTTATCTGCATGCGTCGGGGTAATTCTTTCTATTCTTTCTCCGTCAAAATAAACGGTCAAATATGGGAACTGTCCAGTCAACACAAGCCCTGCTTTTACCTGTTCTGTTTTCTTGTGAAAATAGATAAAATTAAACTTGATTAACACCAGAGCCAGGCGCACTGCGCCGTTATCTCCGTCACTGTAAATGAGGGAAAAACAAAATGATCGGATCCTTTTCTGACCTTCCCCACCTACAAAGTTTAATTACAACAATCAAACGTGACAGAGCCTGGATTTGTATTCTGAACAGTCTAAACATGTTTTAAAAAGAAACGTATGACAAACGTGGCACCTGCTCAGTAAAACCACCAACAGGGTGAAAAATATCAAAATATTGTCGGCAGAGACGGGCTACAGCTTCTGGATCCATTTTATATAAATCGTTTTATTATCGTCTTATGAAAGATAACTTTGACGAACACGAGCGACCGGTACTGGCTGCTGTCACCTGTTGTGAGCAGCGCTCTGCTGTCTGAGGGTAGGCCCCGCCCACAACGCCGCGGCTGCTGTGGCTCCCAGTGTTTTCTTTACTGTGGGAAATGGGTAATAATGGCTCTTTGATAGGAACAGGTTGCCGACCCCTGGTTTAAGTGTTTCAATTTTTTTTTTTCAATTTTTTTAATGAATTCGATTAAAAATAAAGGCACCCGGCCCGGCCCGTGTCCGAGGTAATCACACAGTCGTTGGCCCGAAGCCCGGCTGTCGGGCCGGGCCGACCCAAGGGCCTAGGGCTTCAGTGCAGGGCTCTACTTCCTATCTCTGGCTCCTTCAAAGGCAGTTCGAAATCTGGGTGTTGTGATTGATGAACACCTGACCTTTAAAGATCATGTTGCCTCTGTTGCTCGTTCATGCCGCTTTGTGCTGTATAACATAAGAAAGATCAGACCATACCTAACACAACATGCCACCCAGCTCCTGGTGCAATCTACTGTCATCTCCCGCCTCGATTACTGCAATGCCCTTCTAACTGGTCTTCCAGCCTGTACTGTGAGACCTCTTCAAATGGTCCAGAACGCAGCGGCGCGTCTGGTCTTCAATCAGCCAAAAAGAGCACACGTCACCCCTCTGTTCATTAAGCTCCACTGGCTGCCGCTAGCAGCACGCATCAAATTCAAATTGCACTAGCATACAAAGTCCGAGACGGTACGGCTCCCATCTACCTGAATCCTCTTGCAAAGGCTTACGTCTTGGCCCGGCCGCTCCGGTCATCACAGGATCGTCGGCTAGCAGTGCCTACACCACGCTCAGGACAATCCAGACTCTTCTCATCCATCGTTCCACAAATGTGGAATGACCTTCCAAGCTCTACCAGAACAGGGGCTTCCTTTTCAATTTTCAAGAAACTCCTGAAGACCCTGCTCTTCCGAGAGTATCTAACTAGCACCTTGCCTGCACCCGCCCCCCCTCTCTACCATCCACTCCTTTGTTCCCTCCTCTCCATGACTGATGTCAATGTTGTTGTTGTTATTGTTGTTGTTAGCCTCAAGGGCAATATGCTGATTATCACTTGTAAGTCGCTTTGGACCAAAGCATCTGCTTAATACATAAACATAAACAAACATAAACATCAACAGGTGGTCATATAATAATCAGACTGTTACCAGTCAGTCATTTTTACCTAAAGCTTTTCTGTTTTATTTATAAACAAATCCCAATTCTTCTGTTAAAATTAGTATTTTCTTTATTTTTGGAGTAAAATATTCATTTCATTTCTCAAAAATTAACATTTAGAGGTAAAAACTGGTCTTATGGTTTAAGATTACCCCACATGGCTTCCAGTATCAAATTTAATGCAATGGGGTTTAAGGTCCACAGGATGGTGTTAAATCACTTTCAACTGAACCATGATCAAATCCTAAATAATCTTTTTTACCTGGCCTCCATAAATAACATTTGCATATCTTCTGACTGAACACATTTGCTCTAATGTCATTTGAAAATGACTTACTGGCTAACAGATGAAGCTAAACAATGAAAAAGAGAAGATCTGAACAGGCTTGAGTTTCAGGTGAGTTCCCCTGGCAGCCATAGCTAAGAGACGATTCAGATCATCTTAAAGCTGAGTCTTACTGCTGAAAATGACGTGTCAGCTCGAGTCCACATGTTGGATTTAGTTCAGGGTTAATGTATTAAAATGATATTACCTGCAAACATGATGCCTCAACTTCAGTTTTAATCCACAGAGTTTCAGCCTTGCAAACACATAATTAGTGAATCGTGTGTTTTATAATAGATTATATTCATGGGACGTCTTTGAGAACCAGAGAAGTCCTTGAAAGGCCTCTGACATTTTTGAAAAGACTCTGATTCAAGGCCACAGTTTCATTCAGCCTCCAGCTGGGTATTGTGTGGCTTTTAGGCATAATTGCTCCACAATTTGAGCTCGTTTTTGGTCCTTTAACGATTGTTTCTGTGTGATTTTGATCATTTTTCAGCTTATTTTGAACTAAGTTGGGTTCATTTAGTGACAACTTTTTTGATTTATGCATGTCTGCGTGCATCTGTGTCCCATATTTAGTCTGTTTTGTCATTTTTCATCTGTTTTAAAAAAGATAATCACAATTTATTGTTTCCCTACGATTCTGCATGCAGCATTTGCTAATTTAGGCTATGCATCATAATTGTCTTATATTTTCAGACGTTTTAATTTATTTTATGTCTCATCATGAATAAATGTTGTACCTCTTTGGATGCAGACTTCTTTTTTTGTTGAGGCCTTTGTCTCACATTTATGGTTTGTATTTCTTCAGAATTGTCTCATTTTGGTCGTCTACACTCTCCAGATAAATCACACTGGGTTGTTTTATTACTGTTGATGATTTCTGGAATTGTGGTTTTTTTGCAAGGATAAATTTGTTTTAGGAGTCAGATATAAGGTTAGTTTCTAAACAAAAAACACAAAAAAACATGCATTAAGACTTATAAAGTAGGTAAACAGTCAATAAAAAATTTCTTACATCTTAATTGTTTAGATTTTGCAAGTAAACTGCAAAATAAAGCAACAAATAATTATAAAATAACCGCAATGTCATTATTTGTCCACATGATGGCGCCAAACCACCATAAACTGAACCACGACCTTGACTAGAGTGTATTTCAAAACAAATCTTTATCTATCTAACAATAAACATTTAGTTAACAACAGAGATAAATTTGTGAAGCTAGCAGTAATGTGTATCAGAAAACAACAATAATGAACCTTTAGCTATCTTTCTGTTTTTTCTTCCTTTCTTTACTACCCTTCATCCTTTCTTCCCCTTCTCCATTCCCTCTTTTTTTGCATACGTATATTTTACTTCTTTATTTTTTGTCTGTAAATCTTGTAGGAAAACAAAGAATACCATCTGGGGTTTGAGAAGACTTGAGATTCTTGGTGTGATTTAAAGTTTATATGTGAATTTCGGCTCCGTTCACGAAATCTCGACTGTCAACAAAGTAGGCAGACTTTCCTTCTTCACGTCAGGGGTGGAGCTTCAGGGCAGTGAGCCCCCGGCCAGGGCTTGGGAGGGGCCCGCCCCTGCAATCAGGCAGCCGAGAGGGAACGGCGCCTCTAACACAAACGATGGACAAGCACTTCCATAACTTGTGTTCAGAGGAAAATGAGCTTCGTTCTTCAGAAATCCTCTCATGCATTTATTTAGGGTTTATGTAGGTTGCCCCAGTCCAGATCAAGTCATGGTTCCTAAAAACTTGCAATCGACTGACTTTAGTGATGTAGTAGGTAGGGTTAGGGTAGGCTAGGTTTGGATGGTGTTATTGGTAGTGGAAGAAAGTCCTCTGCCATCTGCTGTTTGTCCGTTTTTGTTTTCAGATAGTTTGGTTGCTAGCTAGCACGCTAGCCACTAGTTGTTAGCTCGAGGTGCGTAACCTCTCCTGAACAGATTTTGACATGTTCTTGTTCCTTATAGTGCCTTGAACACAAACCACACTAATCTTCAAAGAAGCTTGGAAGCAGGATAAACGTCAAAAAGGCACTGAAGATATGACTTATTATCATATAGTGTTGAGAGCTCGTAAGAATCCGCCTCGTCACGCTGCCATCTTGGCCCTCCTCTCAGACGGAGAACACCGGTCTGAACCCTGAAACTCCAGAGCTGAAAATAAGTCCCACTCCAGCCCTGACCTCAAACACGACTCCAGCATGACTCCAGTAGCCGAACAGGTTTCTAAGAACGGAACACTGAATGTCTCCACGGTGCCGGAGGGCGTTTTGCTCTGAATCTGGGTCGTGGTCGCTGTGACTTTGGTGGTTTCTGTGGTTCTGATTGGGTTCTACGTAGTTAAACGTCAGAAATGGACACAGCCCCCTGCTGCTCCTGCAGAGGACACGACCTGATGTTAAAACAGGACCAGAAACACAGAGGAACCGGTGATCAGGAAGTCAACTGGATCAAAGATTCCGATCAGAACCTCAGAACCCAAGATGAGAAACCCAGTTTTACACGAGGAAACGGTACCATACTGGTGGCTGGTTTATGTTCAGAGCGGCTCGATGCCAACAAAAACAAGTCGAACTGTCTCTCAAAACATCTGTTACTGTCATTATTATACTGACAGAATAAGAAAAAATTATATGTTATTGCTGCTTATTTAACAAATACATCTGATTAATGTCAGATTGGCTGGAATTGCTGCTTCTCTTTTATCTGTTAAATGAAAAATACAAATATTTATTTTGTAAACTTTGTTTTATTCAGTACAAGCCAAAGGTTTGGACATGCCTTCTTATTCAATGTGCTGTCTTTATTATCTTGACCGTTTACATTGGGAGATTCTCACTGAAGGCATCAAACCTATGATGTGGAGTTTAAAGGTGAAATAACTGAAAAAGTGTTTTATTTTCCATTTTCTTCAGAAAAGTCACCCTTTGCTCTGATTACTGCTTTGCACGCTCTTGGCATTCTCTTGATGAGTTTCTAGAGGAAGTCACCTGAAATGGGTTTCCAACAGTCTTGAAGGACCCTCCTCCCAACCCCAGAGATGCAGGTGTCTGGTTTGAACAGGTGAGCATCACAGTAAATCAGAGTGGAGCAAACTGAGCTTGAAATATTGTGGGTTTTATGCACTTTTTCTGCTCCAAAGCATGAAAGTTAATAGGTGAGATTTTATATTTTCATTTAAGAGAATTACTGTTTTTTATTTTTCTTGTTGGCCTCTGAAGAAAGATTTAACCCGCTTTAAAATAGGAACTGGAAAGATTACAGTGTGTGTGTGTGTTCTGACCATACGTGTGTGTGTGTGTGTGTGTGTGTGTGTGTGTGTGTGTGTGTGTGTGTGTGTGTGTGTTCTGACCATGTGTGTGTGTGTGTGTGTGTGTGTGTGTGTTCTGACCATGTGTGTGTGTTCTGACCGTTTGTGTTCACTAAGTCTGGAGACTGAACAGTGATGCAAAGGGGCTAGTCTCTCTAGAGAAGACCACAGCCACCTCCCTGAGCAGAACCCAGTATCCATCACTGTGGCAGACATCCAACAAAGAGCCTCAGGTCTGAAGAACTGGACAGCTCCAGGACCTAACATGATCCACGCCTACTGGCTTAAGAAGCTCACTGCACTCCATGAGTGCCTGGCAGCACAAATGAAGCAGCTGCTAAAGGATGGGACTCACTCTGAATGGCTAACTGACTTGGCTAATACCAAGGAGACGCCCTGTCCCCACTGCTGTTCTGCAGAGGTCAGATCCCCGTCCACCAGATAATCAACAAGACTGGCCATGGATAGCACCTCCTCTACATGGAAGACCTCGATCTCACCATCCACATAGAGGAGGTCTAATCTTCAGGTGTTTGAATCGTGCTTAGTCCGACCGCCTACCCGAGACCATGTTGCCATGGAGACCCTAACAGGGGCTAATGAACCAGACTACACAGCTTCCAGGACGATGGAGGTCCTCAAACCCTCCCACCACGATAAGGTGGCGATTCTGCGGGAGGGATGGGTTTTTGTTTGTTTTTTTGGCTTTTTTGTGTCATTTTATTTATTTATTTTATTTTATTTTTTGTGTGTATATTATATATATATATATATATATTTGTATTCTATTTCATTTTATTTGATAGAAAAAAATAAACTTTCCAAAAATATTTTGTTGTTGTTGTTCTTGCTTCTATTTTTTCTACTTGCTTGTGAAATCTAAGCAGCTTCTCGATTCTAAGTCACCAAGTGGGCCTAAACTTATAGACATATAGAGTATGTGTACATCTACTTTCTACTAGAGATTTTAATGTTTTTACTTCCTAAGTGAAAAAAAGTTCATTTTCTTCTAAAACACCCCCCCCCCCCCCCCCCCTCTTGTTCATTCCCTTCAGGTATTTTCCAGATGTGACTGACGACGCTTCAGAGTTAGTTGCTTGTGAGGATTCTGTATCTCTGCCAGAAACCAGAGAACTCCGAGTTTTGGCTCCTGTGACCGAGCTTCCACTTTTATTTACTCCTGAATTATTTTCTGCAGTCACTGATAATTTATCTTTAATCCCTTATTTTTCCACTGATGATGCAAGGGTGGGTCGTACGAGACCCTAGAGGGCGTGCTTGGATGAGCTTCATCCACACTTGACTTCTCATATGAAGATTTTCCATCTTCGTACTCACCTGAACTTACCTTTGAAACCAGAGATGATTCAATGTTACTGTAGGGTTACTGACCTAAACATAGGAATTAAAGGCTGTTGCTATCAGCTTATATTTTAATTCCTAAGAAGATCAAACGAATTGACGAATGAGATTATATATGGATATATGAATATAATAGATATAAATTCATACACCAACTTGCTTGGTCTATGTTTAATCAAAAGATTATGTAGCATTCAGTCAATATTGAGAAGGCCGGATCTGATCGTGAATGATGATTTATTGAGCCGTCCGTATCATCAACCAACCAACGTAAGAGCTAGGCATAAACAAAAAATAAAGAAATCATAAAATAAACCATAATGCATAACTGATTACATTGGTAGCCTTTTTCACAACTAATACAATCATATAGGTACCCATACACGTTCCTTTTTCATAACAACATCATGAATTATAGTTACAAACCTTGTTCCCCTTATCAACTGAAGCTAGACAGAAGTATTCTTCAAACTTTCTTTGTCTTCTTCTCCGTGAACGGTTAATAGCCTATCCTTTGCTCCGTCTTTACTTCTAATAGATTTACGTTTGCTTCTTCTGTGTTGCGCCCATTGCGCCTCCCTACTTGGCTACGGTTGCCATGATGCTGTCAAAATAAAAGCCTGTATACCTTTGCCGTTGTTAAACATAAAGAAATAGTTCACCTTTACATTCACCTTTACAGATTATAATATTTATTTTTAAAGATTTAATTTAATAGCAAAGATTATTTGTTAATTCAGAAGATCTAAAGATCTTTGCCCATTTCAGTGATCAATGTACACCCACTCTGTGTTTATTTCAAGAAAGAGTCAAGTTTAAGAAGGTTAAGAAATTTATTACTAAACAATTATAAAACATCACAATTTATAAAAGACTTTGGTATTAAAAAAGCAACCCTGTGTTTGGATGAATCTAATATGAAGTGTTTGTTTGCGGGTGAATGCAATGTCTCAGAACGTGTCTGGTGCAGGTGTGCGCTCTGGAGGGCCCTCGGTCGACGCGCAGGTGCAGTCAGAGAGATCAGGGTCAGCCAGTAGTGGTACAGGGCGACATTCAACCTTCCCCCTGTGGTAGGCGAGTCACCAACCTCAGGTCTAGAGGTCACTAGCACCAGCTGTAGGAGTAGGGTCAGTGATGTTGTCAGCTCCCCCCTTCGGCAGGTGGCGTCCCCACCGCAAGGTAATGGGCTTCAGCTGGAGGCTCAGCGCCACCATCAACTCCCCCTTTGGCAGGTGGTGTTCCCACTCCAGGGTGCGGAGTCTCATGTGCAGTGCCACTGCAACCTCCCCTAGGTTAAGGTCGGTTTATGCTTGACGCGTCCGCGAGGTTGCGTCATTTTAACAACCACGCCCCTCCACCGCGCCTCTGCATGGCCCAAAATTTCCGCACCGCACACCTAGGAAATTTTCTAACCACGCGGACGGTCGGACGCGGAAAAACATGGCAGACTGGCAAGAACTAGTATGGCAGAGGTTCGTAAATACAGACATTTGTATGATTCAGCTCTCAAAGATAACCGTGATCAACATGTTGTTAATAATTCTTGGAGAGAAATAGCTCGCACTGTCGGAAAAGATGAGGACGCTGTTAAAAAATGCTGGAATGCCATGTTGTAAACAACAGTAATTTTTACTTCTACTATGGTGTAGTGTTGGATTCATGCCGTAGAGCTCCATGCTGCCCCCTACAGTTTGGGAGAATATTGGCTCACCGCAGAGACAAGCCGCATGAACCTATAAACGCTGCAAGTTTGAAGCGCGTTCCATCCGCGAGCCGCATCACCAAGCGGAAAGTGAATACGTCAAGCATAAACCAAGCTTTAGGTGGTTTTCCCACACCCGAGTGAAGCAATCTTGCTGCAGAGACGACACAAACTCTGTGGGTGTCACTGACCTTGGAGGCAGTGGATCGACTGGTCACTCTGACAGCGCCGTTGTAGTTAACAACACCTAGAGAGGGAATGACACGAACACGAAAGAGAGCCCATAGCTCAGGTACGGAGTCAAGCTTGACAGGAAAAGGCAGATGAGCTGTCGGATCAGAAAGGTACAGGATCATCCTGCTGGTATCAGAGTCCTGGGACTGAAGACTGACAAGGTTGTTTTCAGAAAAGACAGGATGAACAGACTCAAAACCATCGGATGGTCGAGAGGTGGACGCGTTAGCGGCCTGAGCTCAAGTCACGACACACACACGGGGTGGGTTTGACCGAGAAGACACACTGTCAGGGAGCCACAAGGGGTTAAAGGACCAACAGCTGCACCTTGTTTGGCAAGAGAGTCTGCAATCAGATCCTTATCAGTTCCGGGTGCACGAGAAATACCTTTGACTTCACGCCAATAGATCTGCATGTCATGTGATGTCGCTAGGGTTATCACAAGCCATGAAGAGGTCTTGATGTTTAACGGGCTTCCGGTTAGATGTTAAGAACCCGTTAATTTTCCAAGAAGGTAAGAGAGGTGGTGGAGGACCTAAACTTGAAGACGGCCATAGAAAAGGAACGCTCAGAAAGATAGGAGGAGAACCACTCCAGAGCAGTTCCTGATAGAACTGCCCAGTCTCTCAGCCTCTCCAGTAGCAGGTGATGGTCAACAGTGTCAAAAGCTGCAGTCAGGTCCAGCAGGACCAGAACAGAACAGTCCCCTGCATCACTGAGTCAGAAGGTCATTGTAAATGGCAGCAAATGATGTTCGTGGTAAACAATGCAGTTCTGTCACTTTACGTTTTGTGCTTTTATTTTGAAGAGCACCCCCTCTTCTTCTACTACTTCATGTTCTTCTACTGTTGTAAACGTTAAACGTTCTGCTCCCGGCTCATCAGAACGACATGCTCGTGTTGCTCCAGAGTTGGTAAAACATGCAAATATGTTATTTATTTGTCATATTCCACATGGAAACTTGTGAAAGGGTATTTTACAGTGGT